AGAGGAGTGCCACTCTCCCGTTCCCACCGTACTGCTGAGCCTCTGCTGCAAGGGTGACAATGTGTAACAATGGAGGTTGGAAAGATAAAATTGAAGTTGACATGAAAAGCGTGTGACAAAGAAGCCCTACAACTGAGATACCCACAGCTGAAAAATCTGTGAGAAAGTTGTTCAGCACCCGGCTGATACCCAAAGAGAGTTACATTATTCTTTTCATTGAAGAAGGCTGATGAACACTCCTCAATAAATTCCAGTGGCAGGCCTGTAATGATGTGGAGCCGATGCAAGTTGGCACCGTATGTTCTAGTTCAGTTAAGATGTATTTCTGTTGCTTTATCCTTTTTGCATCCTTGAGCTGCAAGAGTAATAAATAGGTGTGATCTCTTGTAGTTACCATTGCAGTGTCAAATGCACTAAACTGTTGTGGCCTGAATACCTGTAATAAGATACCTGAAAACCTGCAATTAGAAATGCAAAGATTGTTCTTGTTGAGCAGTCCAAAATTAAGCAATCCTGACTTTATAGTGAGTTCAACAAGTTTTGTAGCCAGCCAAGAAACATGCAACAAAGTGAAGCATTTTCAACATTATGTCATGTCCAATGCTATTTACAGCTTTTCTAGATCATCACTTCACCTAAAAACATATGGGAACCCAGGTCTGAGCACAGAAGTTATGTGCTCACTTTTACCTAGCCAGCTTAATTAACGTGGCTATATTATGCAATCTGACTACCTGGAGCTCCTGAAAGCTCTTTGTTAAGCATAATGCATTACAATAATCCAATTTAGACATGACAAAAATTACTGTTCTTCTGCCAAGGCATCTAGTGAACTGAAAACTGTCATTCCTAATGTAAAGGTCACAACTTTCAGTGGGACTGCAAGCCTAACAGCAGTGTAATTATTTATGCTAGTGTAATGAGGCTGATGAAAGTGGGACTTACTGCCAGAAACGAGCTGAGGAGATTTTTATGGGTCTGACTAGACTATTCTGAGCAGAAGCACTTGCTCTCCAAATGCTGTCCTTTCTCCAGCCCCTGTTTCGGACCTTAGAGAAGCTTTTTTAGGAGGGTGAAAAAATTAATATTTTCAAATGTATTCTGTTCATCTCAGTCTCTGAATCTGCTAAATTTTAGTTCAGATTAATATTTTCTTCAGCTCCTCTGATAAATACGGGAAGTATTAGAAAAAAATTTGTGGGCTCCTAATCGGTTTCCAATGATTCATTCAAACAGCACATTTATAAATAGGCTGGGGGGGGGGGGGAAGAGAACAAGAGAGAGGAGAGTCTTTAGAACATACACTACCCATTTTTCCCAGTGGCCAGAACATTTTTGTGGTACATAATTAATACCAGTTTGTTAGTGAAGAACTCGGTGTTGAAGTAAATTTCTTAGCCTGCTTCCTACCTTCTAGTACTAGAGTCCTTAGTACATTTTTAAGTTAAACAATGTTGTTCCCCCTTGGATTCTGAACTGTGGGTTAGAGAAATCTTAATTGCAGATAAGCAATAGGCATTTGTTCTCTCTTTTTATCTTTTACTTCTCTGTTCAACATCCATGTCATAGAGCACAAGGACAGTTGACATAATTTACTATTTCAATTTTTAGAAATTAATAACTGCAATGGTATTGGAGTTCAGATGTTCCTTTATGCAAAAAGGGAGTCAAATTGTCCATTATAATGCTAGAGATCATGTGGTAAATTATAAATTAAATGGTGGTCCTGGAATGCACAGACATCGCCTTTGACTGCGACTGCAGATTCAGTGAGGTTGCTGTGATGTACATGCAATTAAACCTGTACATTGTCTCTGAGTAAAATTAAGTACTAAAGCAAATTTCAGCATAATGTAGGTATTACCCCACTTTTTTTAGACTATGTCTTAGTAATCTTTTATGATACACTGGATTCTTAATCACTGTCAAGTCACTATACTTTCCTTTTCAGTAAAGAGCAGTGATGTTATGCAATGTTGCTACGTAGATCATGCCCTGTTTTTTCTAGTACTATTTTGAGAAAATACATCTGAGTAAAACTACATTTTTGGTGATGCTAAGTCTTCCCCCAGCAGTTAACATTTCATCTATATTTATGTGACATGACTTTACGCTTTGTGGTTTTGGCAGATGGAGGAATGATTTTCCTCACATTTTTCATATGGTGAAGAATTTACAGGAGCTAGTTTAGCGATAGCAAGCAGAGGAGGCTTTGGTTTGTTTACCTAACATATATGTCACATATAAAAGGCAATGTCCTTCCACTGTAGTTGTTAATAACTAGCTATTCCAAAAGGATTTGTGCCAGCACAAAATCCACCACCACAATAAGCAGTAATAGGAACTTCAGCTGGCAACAAAACTAAAGGCAGTAAAGATTAAATAACTGTGTGAACTGTCCCTCCAAATAAAAACTGATGTACATTGGCAAAAAATAAGAAAACTCGCACCACTGTTACTCCTTACACTCTCTTCTACTCTGGTAATAGAGAAAATACTGCTGTCTGGGACTCACTATTTTTCACATGACATAGATTCACCCCATTAATGACAAGAATCTGAGTATTCATATCAATAAAACATCTCAAATTACAAAAACCTATAGATGGCTTTCAAATGCTTGAGGATACAAATGACCTTTTGAAGAAGCTTGATTTTTAGAGGCATTTGTCAGTTAGGTGCCTGTTACTGACTTCTAGCTAGTGTTGCACATGTACTTCCAAGAAGTCTGCTTGGAAATTCCACTAAATGACATCCAAGAAATTAATTTTTTTCTGGGTAGAAAATCTTCCAGGAGCTACAAAATGTCTGCAAAATAGTATTCATAGTAATACTTCCACAACATAGAATATGATCTTGGTCTGGAGCAGGTTATTGGCAGAGCTGCAATAACAACAAACCCTCCCCCTTTTCATGAACCATAGCTGAATTACGCTAATCCCTGTACAAACAAATGAATGAAAAAATTAGTATAATGAGGATTTCAATAAGTATTCCACTGTACAATATTAACTGATAGAATACATTATAGATTAGCCCAAGTTTCTTTAGAGTGATCCACAGTTTGTTGTCTCACGGTGTCCTATGTGACATACTTTCAAAATACAAATTACTTTCCACAGTTTAAATGAACCTCTAGCAATGTGCTAGAGCGCCTCAGAAACATTTTAGGCTTAAGAGTTGTCCAAGCCTAACCTTTGAATTCATGAACAGAGTAAAACGTCTGATCTGTAGGTCAGAGTGTGCAAAAATCTCTGCTGTTAGCCTTGAAGAGGCTTTGCAGCTGCAGTTATGTTGCAGCATTAAGAGTGACACATCTTTGTAACATCTTGCACTTTGTGAAATGCCGTATCTTAAACTCTGTGTTTGCATCCCATTCCTTGTAATTATTATGGACAGACTTAAATCTCGCAAGTCAATCAGACATGTCAGTCCTCTCCTGGTCATTCTGAAAGCACAGGGCAATGAAAAGACAGAACCTTTGCAAACATACAGGGAACACCATATAGTTTTGTCAGTAACATTTAGGATGCGCACGAATAGGTATGTGCAAAACTCATGCACATTAATTTGGACACTCTTGCTGTAGAGTTTTCAGGACTAGAGCAACTCCTTGGGTGTTGACAGTTAAAAACTTCCATGTAAATAGACGCCTGGTGCCATACTCTGACAGTGGTTAGATGTTCCAGTGATAAGTTTGCCAGGAAGCAAGGCTAGCGAAAAAAAGCCAAACCCAATTAAAATGTATCATCAGGTAAATGTGAGTTTTGGCAGCAGGACAGAGTTATTCACTTTAGACTTCACTCAGGACACAAAGTAAACACCTCACTTAGTAAGAAACGTGACCTGTTACCAGCAAGATATGCTAAACTGTGCATCTAACCAGTTAGGTCCACCAGCATCACATCAGGAGACACTAATTCTACGGAGCATTACCTACGCATATCAGATACAATTTCCCCCAGTACTAACTGTTCCCTGATGAGTGCCCAAGCATTGGGCTAACCCAATGGAGAGTTGTTTGTTCGAGCTCAGGGAAGCTCAAGGTAAGGTGTAACAGCTGATGCAATTTGCCTGCTGTATGGGGGGAAAGGTCAGCCCCTATAAAATCATGGACAAACAGAGCTCCCAGGCAGCTGGAACAATCTCTCTAAAGAACTGCACTCAGGCAGGGACAGTAGAAAGAGACAGAAGAGCATATGTTTTTGAGAAGTGAGTTTATGGATGAATTTAAAGAGAATGTATCCTATGAAGAGGAATTCATAAAGTAAATGCAGTAAGTCCAAGTCTTTTACTGAGACACGATTGCTTTTTAACTTCATGAATAGCAAATAGGGAAAAGTCATGGAAACACATTAATTATAACACAGTAAAATGAACATGAAAACTTTTACCAGCACTGAAGGCCACTATACACCACAACCGAAGACTATAATTCTTTCAAACAGCCTTGCCAGCCTGCTTTGAACTTCTTGAAAGCACTGGAAGGTAGCTACAGGCTTGTGAGTAGATTAGAAAATTATACTGCTCCCAGAAAAGAAAAAACCAAAACAGAATAAAAACCAAAGCCCCGCATTTGCTTATTGCCTGTAACACAAGACCTTCAAGCCAGGAGAGGACTTAAAAAGTAGAACAGTGCAGGCTTCAATTTATCAGTATAGACACAAGGTATCTATCTAACTAACAGCATTATATAGAGGCCTGTTCCCGACGGAGCTGACGAGAACCAGGTTGAAGATCAACAATAATATGAAGGGTCAAGGCACCCATTCCCAATATGAGCTTTTGAAGTACAGTGTTCATAAAAGCAGGGTTTATTTCTTAAAGAAACTGTCTATTAAAGAAAAGGACACCGAATATTCCTGATTCATCATGTTCCAGAACTTTATCACATGTAAATCTGCATAGTGTGTGTATAATGTTTTGTACAGTGAAAAAAGGTCAGTATAAATATACTGCTCTCTCATTCTTTATCCATACTATGAGAAAAGCATAGTTTATTATAACAGGAAATAATACTTTATTATAAAATCTGCATGTAAACAAGTAACAAATTAATTGAATAACAGTTAATGGAAGTGCAAATTAATTTCATAAAATGATATCTGTTCTTTATTTAACTATATATATATATAATTTGTTTTCTCCCATTCTAATGTGGTTCTACTCCCCCCTCCCCACATTTAAGTTTAAAAAGATTTAGCATTGCTTGCTTTATACTAAAAAGAGTGTACGAGCCTGCGTACAAGTTTAAGTTTTGCTCTGCAAACAAGACAAGTCTATGGTGATACTTATCATCATCCTTTCTTATCTTTGCATCTCTGGTATCCACCAGACAAGAGGATATATAACATATGTACACAGTGAAAATGTGGGCGTGTCAAGCCACTTATTTAAAGTTAGTTCATTTACTTGCACACATTGACACTTAAAACCATTTATCAATGAAGCAGACATTGTAGTGTAACTTCCGGACTTGCTTGCGCACCTTAAGGCATTAAGGAGAGTCTCAATCGGTAAGTCGTTCTTGTTATCACCACGAGTATCATCTATACACTTCTCATAACAGTCAAATGCTTGTTCATCACCCACATGCAACATCTGGCCTTGCTGAAAGCTTCTAAAGCACAGATAAGTCATGGCAAGACTTTGATTTTGCTTTGAAAGCCATCTTCTTATTGTTCTTTGCCACAATTCTCCCAAGGAATCGCTTTGCCTTTTTGCCTATGCTTTCTCTTCTTTTTGTGTTGGCCATTCTCCTAGCATTGTCTTCTTTACTGTCCTTGCGAAGTCTAATTTGCCGAACAATACCTTCAAACAGGTCCTTGACATTATGATGAAGAGCAGCTGAGGTCTCAATGAATTTGCAGTCAAACACAACGGCACAGGCCCGTCCCTCTGGATGGAAGGAGAAAAAGGGAGATGAGTGGAAACAGACATTTTCTCTTCATATATACTGGCAGAAAAACAAAACGAAAATTGACTTTAAGTAACTAAAGTGCCTTCAATGCCACGAAAGAGCTTTACTACAAGGTAGGAAAGTCCAAATTTGCACTCATGGTTTTGCCCTCTTACTCTTCTTGGTTTTGTTGTCGTACAGTCAGAAATCTCATTTGACCAACGGTACTGAATATAAGGCAACCATAGTCCTCTAGGCAGACCATCTCAGTATTGTTTAAGAGCTAAAGCTGATATAAGAGACGCACTTGGATGCATGCTTGCTGTTGGATAGGAAACAGTGTGAGATACAGAAAGAAATGTTTTTTATTCCTTCTGCAAATTGTTGAGCAATTATGCACCTCTGCCTTGCTGTAACAAGTGAGAGTTTTCCACGCTAGCTACAAATGAAGCTGATACAGTCTACAAGGTCAAGTCATTGAACAGATCATTAGAGGTCATGAAGTTGTACACCATTGGATTTGACTACGACTGCATTCAAAATGCAAGATGCTCAACATTCCAGAAGTAAGCACGTAACTCTGGAACATTGCTGCAGTGCAAATTTCCATGTTTAACTTGTGGTAAATAATGGCAAAGTTGTAAACCTGAGCAAAGTACTGATGTCACAACTAGGACAGGTCAACCATGCACTGCCATCAGCCTGAAAAAAGTGATAATCTCTTGATGAACTCCAGCCAATTCCCTGTGCAGGCATTTAACACTGGGAACATGGCAAAACCAGACAGCAAGAGATGGTTCATCATCATCAAGGCACCGACATTTCACAGTATTCTTCCCAGTGAGAAAAAAACCAAAATGACCAAATGTTTAAATAAGTGAAATTAATACTGCGGTGTTGGCAGTGGCTACTGTGCTCTAGTTACCAAAATGCTAGCTGGAACTAGCTGAGAAATTCTCACTGATCACAACTGGAGAACATATACAAAAAGACTTTAAGTTGTGTGAGCCTGGTCCCACCAGCACAACTCAAATGCAATGGAATCACTTCCAGAAGAAAGGGGGTTGTACAGGCTGTATGGGATCACTCTTTTCAAAGGCTGCTTGTGTTCTATGACATGGCACTCCTGTCCTTTAAAAAGCATAGCTCGAGCTATCAAATCTTGAGACTAGCAAGTGCTGCTGCACACATAACATACAATTAAACCCTTTCAGCTAATACTGACCAAAAAAGAATCCTATACAAAACAGTATGCTAAAGCTGCAGCTCTGACGCATTTTTTTCTCTTGTACTGCAGTTCAGAGAATTGCTCTGCGCGGTCACAAATCTTCCCCCACCACCATCTCCACTGTTTTCTGTGGTACCAAGTTCCTGAGCATGAATCAGCTGGCTTGATTTCTCCGGTGTGCCTCAAATCATACATTTTTCTACATAAAAACTGGACCATTCTATTGGCCATGATCCTCCTTAGCCTTTGCTACTAATTTGGACATCACTGTAAAAATGAATAGTGTCTCTTACCATCAACTGAGACTTCCCGGGACCTGACCAGGTCGCTTTTATTGCCCACAAGAATAATAGGAATGTCTTCCGTTTGCCTTGCTCTTCTTAGCTGGATTCTTAGCTCAGAGGCCTTTTCAAAACTAACTTTGTCTGTAACTGAATATACGATAATATAGGCATCTCCCATTTTCATACAGTGGTTCTGAAGCCATTGGCTGTCATCCTAAAACAAAAGACAAGAAATAGATTTATTGCACTGAAAAATCTATTCAACACTGATTAATGATTTAATTATTCTAAGCACCTTAAAGATATTTTTCTGAGCTTTATTATGAAGAGTCAGTAAAAGCAAGCCAACCTTCCAGGTTTTTTTAAAGATTTTGTTATTTAAAATATATCGCAAAACAAAATTCTCGTTTCCAGAAATAATATCAGGTCTGCACTGATCAGATTGTGAATCTCTCTTTTTACAGTAATTCCCTGGGCTGCTCATGTAAGCTGCTGCTTATTTAAAGCATTAAGGGATTCACACTGCCACCCTATTCAGGTTTTTAAATTGCCTGCCTAGCTACAAGAAATTAATTGCAGGAGAGAACAAAGGCAGTACAAATTCTAATTTTTTAATGTCACTTTTTTAATGTTACTGATCTGGTCGAAGAAATAGGCAGACATAGTTGTTCCATTTCTTGGTCAGTGAATTTTAAAAAAAGCCATAAAGAAAAAATATCTTAAATCTGTAAGTACCTGCTCCCATATATCAAACACCACGAGAGATGCTTCTTCTCCGTCAACTATAATCGATCTGTCGTACGTATTTCCTACGGGGGAAAAAAAGTTCGGAAAAAAGCAGTCGTTACTCTCCATCCCTGCCGACAGCCTGGGAGGGGGTGGCCGGAGGGGATGCCCGGGGAGGTGCGGCCGGAGGCGCTCCGGCAGCGGTAGCGCCGCGCTCCGCCGCTC